TGTAGTTCTGCCTCGCTTCCTGCCTCTTAAGTCTGCACTTAAAAATAACTCGGCTGAAGCTCACAACACTGATATCCAACATGTGCTGTTCTTATCTGTTTTCAGGAGGATTAGTCGGAAACAGTCTGGGCTTGCGCTTCCCAAGTCTGAGAATTGCAAAGAAAAGGCCCCACTTTGGTACAGCAAGTCAAGACTGTCCTTACAATGGAGTGAGATGCTGTTAATCCAGTGTGAGACCTCCAAGCATGTGAACTGTTGCAGCTCTTGTACTTGTCTGCACCTCTTCCCAGGCAGGTTTGATGAAGGGGTTGGACTCTCTTGCTGTAGTTTCTCCTGTGTTTTTTCTTTCGGGTACCTGGCATTGCGTAAGAAACAGGCCCCACTGCTAGGTCCTGTATCCTGCTAAGCCAAGCAGATGTGGGGCCTTTCAGGTCTAGCTGCTTTCAGAGTTCAAGGTACTGTTTGCTGCCAAATTCAGCTTCTCTCTCTTTACCAGAGGAGTTTCTTAACCAGTCTGGTACTGTGGTTTAGATGAGAGTTAAAAGAAGAATCCTCAGTTGCACCTTTACGCATTTTTTTTTAATTACTTTGCCTATTTTCACATGTGGCTCTCCAACCTCAGAATATCTTAAATTAAACAGCTGACCTGCACGTGGGAGTCCATCAGAGCAGCTGTCTGGATATCATAGGGTACTACCAGGCACAGTCACTGGGCAAGATGTGTCCCGCCTTCCTGGTGCAAGGTTGGGAGTGTATCATCATACATCTGCCTAGGGCAAAGCAGGATGTACACTCAGCACATCAGACCAAAGATCTTCCTGGGGCAAAATTAAGCTGGTCCAGGCATAGCCCGTTTCATCACGCCGCTTCTGGGAAGCAAATTCACTTCCAGAGACAGGGCAGTGCTCCCTCGTGCTTCACACTGCAGGTTTGACTTTGTTTTGAGGCAAATATTCTTGCTTCCTGAAACACTTACCATGGTCCTTTTCTCTCTCTCTCTCTCTCTCTCTCTTTTTTTTTTTTTTTTAACCTTGTGTGTTTTTCCATAACACACCATAAACTAGGTGTGACGTGAAGGGACGTCATTGGCAACCCAAATGCGCGTGCGCAGCAGTTTTCTTTTGAAAACAGTGCGTAAACTGCAGAGGGCTGTGGTTGCTTTAGACACTCTCCTGCTGCCATTAAGTCATCTTTAAGCGACTCGGCTTTAGTAACGCTTTGGTACATAATTATTGCACACGTGTGTGTGTCATCCCAGCTTGGCAGCTATGAAGTAAAGAGTTTGTTGTCTGGCGAGTTTCTCTCAACTGCCTAATTTGCAATGCAACAGGTCCGGTAAGACTGCAGTGCTCCTGCACTGCGCTTCTGCGCTTGCCGTCAGATGGGAAAACCACTCCACTGAAGGAGGGTGTCTTTGCGTTTTTTGGGACATTTTTGAGCCTGATTATAGCTTTATTGCTTTAGCAGATTAGCGCCTTTGGATGTTGCCACATCATCAGCAGGATCCTGCCTCTGGTGCCTTTTCTACGCTTGAATGCAAGTTTCCTCACCATGGTAAGTTGTTTGAGTGCTGCTGGGAGTGCTTGGGTAGGTGTGATGCTCTTGTAGAGGATGAAATCTTAAGAAGAGAAAGGCTAAACCTATCTTTCAGCTAGAGAAGGCTGCTCTGTTATGCTTCTAGCTATTTTTCTACCTTACTAATCTTTCTCCTGATCTGTGTCCCATTGCCAACATTCAGAAGTGGGAGAAAAAATGTCAAAACTAAAATGCCAAAAGCATTTTCCTCGGGTAAGAAGGGTTTCTCTTCAAAGAGCTTTAAAATTTCTCTTTAAAGAAGCCTTTCTTGGAGGGAACAACTTTATCACCAAGAAGAAAATGACTTTTAGATAACACCTAATCTCTACTAAATTTGTAAGTCTCTCAAAATAAAAAATTTCTAAGCCTTAGAGAAACACAAAACTCTATCAAGAGTAACTGTCTCCTGATAGGATTTATATCATAAGTAATACACGAAAGCAAAAATGGGGTTTTATCATCTTTCTCCAGGTTAAGGAGATATTTTTTCTATGAGCTGGTAAGAATTGGCTTGTAGGTGCTGGGAAGGGTGGTCTGTGCTGTAGATGTTCAGAGGATCCAGTGAATTAAACAGCTATTAGTAGCTGCTTCTGCTCCTCTGCCCCTAAGGAATTAGTTTCTCCCATGACAGCGTGTCTGTTTCTTGCAATTTGTACAATTCTCTCTTTAGTTACTGAGTTTGTGCTGGCAGTGATGTAAAGAGATACAGATATGTATGATTTTGCTGGTCTCAGGTAAGCATGAGGAGAACCTGTAATAGAGCACAAAGTACTACTTGCTGTAGTCCCATTCACCATTGCAGATAAATGGCCTTTTCTTATCCCCAGCACAACCAAGGCGAGATATTAAGCCCTCAGTGTACTCACTGTCCCCTCCAAAGTAACTCTTAATGCTACAGATCAACATAGCATTTTTGTCTCCTTGCCCACTTCACATAAACCACCTCTCTGGTGGCCTGAAGGTAATAATTAACTAGATAACAAGAGTAAAATAGTGACATGGAAAGAAGGCAGGCTGTATCAGCTTATGCAAGCTGCACATCATGTGATTTGACATTCTCTGTACTGTTGCTGTGTTTATTTTATATACCATAGATGCAGGAGGAGATCTCAGATGATGATGAAAACAGTTGGTCATTAAACTAACAAGACAGAGAGTGGGAAGAAGCTGATAAGCATAAAAAAAACTCCATTAGCTTCCATGAGATGTGCAGAGGAAAAGCTAGAGCAAGAAGTGAGCTCCATAGGCCATACTGTTGAAAGTCCAGCCTTGCTTTTCACCTGAGCATGCAATTAGTCGTGATTACAAATGAGGAACAGACGCTACCTCACACAGGAGCAAGGTGCTGCTGCTGCTTCTGCTGTGCCTGCAGTTATTTGCTTGTGCAGACTTGAGATCTCATTTAAAATAGTCTCTGTGGCTGTGACAGCACAATCCAGTCGCCCAAGTCCGTGTATGCAAAAATGAATCTTTCCTCTTTTTCCTACCCAAATTGCTTGCTTGAATTACTGGTGGTTCCATGGTCTTTCATTGCATCGTACAACCTCAGTGCTCTAACATTTCATCTCTTAAACCACTTCACCTGTTCTTAAGCCATTGCTAAAACCTCTGCTGTGAAAACTGGCTGCAGGCAGGGCTTAAACCTGCTCTCCTGCAGCTGGCCCTTGCAGAAGCATCGTGTTGTATCTGCACTGCCCTGGTTTGATCTGTTCTTGGTCTGTTTCCAGCTATTCTTTCTCTCAAGTCACTGCTTTTCTGAAAGTATTTAGTGCCCATCTCTCTTCCACTCCCCTTACAGCTGATTTATGTCAAGTGTTTTGTTTATCACTTCCTCTGGATGGGAAGCATGTCTTTAATGTGCTCATAAACTTCAGTGTATTCTTATGGCACTCTTTAAGAAATAAATAGCAGATTTTTGTCAACTAAACAAGACAGCAGTGATTTTTTTAGCTGTGCTTTAATAACTGATGCAGTGTGTCTGCAGATCTACAGTACTGCATTTTTCAAAGACATGGACAAGACTGTTTCCTAACTCAAATTACGTATTAACCAACCTTCAGATATGTTCCTTTTTTTCAATAAACTCCTCCAAGGAAAGGGGTAATTTTCAATATTTCAGATTTCTTCTCTTTTCCTGTTAGTTAGAAAAAAATATAAGTGCATTTGCAGGTGTTCAAGCCTTGCAAATTCTCAAAAACTTCCCATATTTAAACAATCGTCATAAACACACTCATGGATTTTGATTCAAGTAGGATATTGCATGTGTGCATTTCCTCTCTAACACCAGTGATCATGTCTGTTTAAACACACTCCACAGTCTGCTTTCTGCATCTTGTTATTCCCATAGAATGAAAAAAATCTAGTTGACAACACTGACAGGAATATAAATTTTTTCTTGTACGTTTGTCACATTAAGAAAAGTGGAGACAGGAAGGGGGACATCATTTTGTTCAAACCTGCAGGCAGGCATTACAGTATATCCTTGGTTATGGGGAGCACTTTCCTAATTTGCTTGCAAATAAATCCTTGACCTTGTGAAAGTTATTTCTACATGCAGTGAATTTTAAAGGATCTTAAATTTCCTCTCTTTTAAGCTATCCTTGGTGATTTAAAATGATGCCCTTAAGTATTATATTGGGAAATGGGAACATAATCATTAATTATTGCTTACAAAATTCATGCTGTGAGTGTTCATAGGCAGATACATGCACTACAGTCCTTTTGTGTCACGTGCTGGTGGCTGTTCACATTTAGTAGAGTTGTGGGGGTTTCCTTTTTGTTTTATTTTTCCAGAAGAAATATTAAGAAGTGTCACCAGGACACAAAGTCCTTGGTGTGAGGTGTGATCCATGTTGTAGTTTGTATTCAGCTGAGCTCTGCCTGGGGTCAGTATTCAGACTGACTGTTGCTTCTGTTATTCCAACACATAAAAAAAAAAAAAAAGTCCTGGGCTTTTTTCTGTGCTTGCTGCACTTGTCTGAAACCTTCCTTCAGATGCTGTACACGTTGCAGCAGATGTTCATGGAATTTACCAGTTTCCTAAAGTTATCTTGGATAACTAAGAATGGATTCCCTGGATTAACCGAAGAGATTCACAAACTTTGGGAGCACTTATAAAATTAATTTTGCTCTTTTTCTCTAAATAACACATACTGTAATTGTGATCAACAGGCTCCCTTCAGTTTAAGTGCATGCTTGAAGTTATGGTTCTCCTGGATTTATGGTATCTTGCTGTGCCACTTCTGTTAGACTGTAACCTTCCAACCTTGACACACAAAATGGTATGTGTGTGCTTAACTGACATGAAAAACAAAGAGATTCAAGATTTGTGTGCTTATGTGTGAATAGAGTGGAAATAAATAGTCACCATAATTTCTTCGAATAAACAGGAAGTTTAATAGCTAAATCTTATCTACTACAGAGCCATGATTAAAGATAACAACGAAATTATTCCACTAATGGACAAGAAGGGAAATTCATCTGCTACCCCTGCTTCAAACCAGCAAACTGAAGGGACTCCCACAAAGAAAAGGTAAGACTTCAGCAATAAAAATACCTCTTTTATCTCCTTTAGTAGATCTTAGCACTGAAATATCACCAAAACCTTTTTTATGTCCCATCTGAATGCGATGGGACCTAAAAAAGTGTGCTTTTATTGTTAGAAAATTGAAGGTTATCCTGTATTTTTGGCAGTTGTGTGTATAATGTGTCCACTTCAATGGGAACTTAATCCCTATCCCAGAGATAATATCCTCTTGCACCAGTCTTAAGCTTGTGTCTTATGTCTCCTGGGCTTTCTTCATCTACTCTTTGCATCTGTATAAGCCTACAAGAACATGGTGTAACAACAGTTAATGTTTTGGTAAGAGAAGGTGGAGAGATCTTTTCAAAAAGATCACATGGCAGAGTACTGTGGCCTTTAAATAAGCGAGAGGCTGACCTGGAAAAAGGGAGTATCTCAAACTTAGCCTCACATAAAGACATGAGAGAAAACGGGGAGACAGTTGAAATTAAGAGGTGAGGACTGGCATAACAGGTGGTTTGAGAGATCCCACTGCAGGCAGAAACCTGAATTTGCTCTAATTTTCAGGATTTTGATTAATGTGTTTTCTCAAGTACTTTATAGACTAAAATATTCATTTTCATGTATAATTTATGTGGGAGAATTATGATGTGGATTAAAGGTCTGTGTTTAAAATGAATATGGAAATAGTAATTATTCATGCCTGATAGTTGCTGTAGAATGAGCATGTATTTTCATTCATAAACTTTTAACTCTGTGGCTAATTACAAGCTATTATAGCAATTTTTGAAATTCTCAAGGCTCCGGGAACTGTGGCTGTTCTGACATTTATAATTCTTAATAATCAGAGGAATCACTTTCTACAGAAATGGTCTCATTTCTACAGAAATGGTCTAATGAGTTATTTGAGACCCACTGCCTGGGTGGCCCAATTGCTCCTTCTGTCATTAAGTTCAAAAGAAGTTTTTCATTTGTATCATCACTGTAGTGGTAAAAGGGTGAGACAAGGTGTCTGTGTAACTCGGTACTTCACGGTACTTCAAAAGTACTTCAAAAAGAGGCGATTTCATGGAAGATTCTCTAGTTACAGCAAACACTGACAAATACTGCCCTTCAGTTACACGAGCACATTCAGTTTTGTGGCATCAGTAGCAGTGACCTGGGGGGGTTTCCCATCTCACAGCCGAGACTTCAGGGTGCGGCAAACAACATTCCTGTGATATATGGAATGATGATCATGTGAATTTTAATACAGAGGCTTAACATGTCCTATTAATTACATGTTTCTCTGCTGCTGTCCTTCTGGTGCTTCCTCCTGGTGCACCGCACTACTAAGCGGCTCCTTCACCTCAGCGGGTGGCATTTGTGACTCATCAAGTGTCCTGGCCCTATGTACGTGGTGAAGGCAATGCCTTCTCCCCTCTTGAAGCCCCTGGTATTCGGATGAACTAACAGTATATAATTAAGAACAGGAAAACCAACAGGCAGGCTGGGAGGAGCGTTGCCAACGTTGTCAGAGCCTGATTGTGTCTGTGGGCAGTGTCCCTGACAGCAAACACCACGGCCACGTAAGCGCTTGGGCATTTGTTGGCAATTGCCCACTTGTTTTACACTTTTGGGAGAGCTGGAGCTGCTCTCAGGGAGGTCAGCTGGCAACAACCACTTCCCTTCTTGGTGCTGAGTCAAGGGCAGGCGAGATGATCCACAAAGCCTCAAATGCAGCACTTGTCTGGGCTTTCTGGAGGTTTACTGTGGCCACCAACAGCTGTTTGCCTGTTGGGACAGGTCCTGAACGTCATAGATAGGGAATGCAGAAAAAAAAAACAACAACAACAACAAAAAAAAAAAAACAGGATGGACTCATGTGTTTTTTCCAATCCTTCTTAGTCTCTGCAACAAATTTGGAAGCCAAAGAAGCAACAGTGATTTGCAGCACCTGTGAATCTGGCAACTGTGGTTATAAGCAATGGCAATGGTCCTGTGTGTCTAGGTTTTTGCTCTCCTATAAAGAGCAGCTCCCGGCCTAAGTGATTGCAGGGACACAGTCCTGCTAACCGGAAGTCACATTTTATTTGCTACGTGCATTTACAGGCCCTTCTCAAACATTAAAAGGTCATATAAATTTAAACATCTACATACAGTGAATTAACACTTGGATCACAAAAACATTGGAAAATGAGAAGGGTGTTAGATTGTGCTATTTTTAGCAGGCAGCAACAGTAGCGTCCTAACAACATACTACATTTTAACATCAATATGTGTACTTTAATTCCACTGGATTCTTTGTGGAGTGAGGAGGGTGTGGGTAAAAGAAAGGAAGAAATACCCCACTGTCTAAGCTACGTATCTTAGGTGAATTTGAAATGTTTTCCAGGTACTCACTGGAATATTTTAGAAATATGAGATAGATTCTAAACTATGGCCATGGGAGAATGTCTACATTCTTTTCTTATGTGAAGAATTTGTTTCTTATGTGAAAAGTAACAATGGTTTAATCATATCTAGTAATCTCAAGCCATTCATTTTCCCTCCAAGCTCCTCAGGCTTTTAAAGGGCTAAATCTTACTATTTTTCTCATGCTCCTTTTCGCTGTGCTGTTTCATGTTTCTTTCTTTTCCCTATAAATAGCTATCCATTAGCTGGGTATCCTTAAATGTCATGCTCTGACTGGTGAGATTACAAATTCAGTCCTGGAGGGCGGCAATGTCTTATGTCATTTAACATGTGACCTTTCCAGCTTTCTGATTTAATGTTTATCACTGCTGATGGTCTTGAAATGACCCATCTTACTGGTTCCCATCTGGATATATATAGGCTAAAATGCAGTAGATCAAAAGCATATGTATGTGTGTATACATGTATGGCTGCTCAATAAATGGCTGGGGTTGCTATTTGCTCAGAGGTTGGATGCAATGTTGTTTTTAGACTGCTGCGCTGACTGCTTAGACATGTCAGGATCCGATGCCATGTCTCCTAAAATTATCTCAGGATCTTTTGCCCATCTGCTAGCACAAAAGTGCTGGCCACAATGTCTCAGGTTGGAATTCCCCCAGGAAGAAGGAGATAAGCCTCTATTCCAGCATTTTATTAGATATGATGCCAGGAAATATAAAATGTCAAGCTTGTCCAAGGCGTGTGTGTGTATTGCTTTGTTTGTTTTATGGTGGTTTGCCTTTTTACTAACATTTTTTTTTAATGCAATGTGTTCAACAGTTCACACTTTTTTCTAGAGATTGATGGTTATGAAAGTAATGTAACTCCAAATAACGTATCTCCTCCTGTGTTTTCAAAACCTATGGATTCAAATATACGTCCATGGTAAGTTACAGATGCATTTGCAGTTGTCGCATTGCAAATACAGCTACTTTCTTTTCAGCATTTACTCTTCATTTCTCCCTGTCTTTCAGAGCTAAAATTTCAGGTGGGTTTCATAGTGTTTGGTTATAGTAAAGAGAATTCTGGATGCCAAATCACTTCTCTTTATATATTGCTGTCAATTACCCTAAATAAATTAGGCCTCAAACTTGAATAATTTGAAAACAGTACTCTCTCTCTCTTTCTATATATATATATATGTATGTATTTTTTCCCTAGAACCCTTTTTGTGATATACTAGGAAGAAACCTGCTTACCTATTTGTGTATTTTCTGCTGCTAAACTAGCCTGCAGACCACAGCTTAGTCTAGCCAGCCCTCTTCTCAGCTGCGTGCTGGCATCCTCTCTGCTCATCAACAATCAAGTAATAGGAAGATGCTGAGTATACTTAAAGACAGAAATTTATATCCATGAATAGAGAAAAATTATGACTGGGAAGAATACACTTAATTGCAAAAAGGTTGAGAGGTACTAAAGGCCAATAATTATAAATAAGGAAAATATGCTTCAAATCTAGCCTGAGATCAGAAGGGCTAAATATTTTTCTCTGTGTGCTTGGTCAACAACATGGAATTAGTTGACAATCCTGTTTAGGTTTCAGGGAAGCATCCAAATATTTTCCTGTCATTTGCAGCCAGACCTGCACACCACACATGCACATTGTCACCAGATTCCTTGCGGTGTTCTGCAGAGAAGTGATGGACTGAATAAGAATGGGTTCTCAGCTACCAGCCTTGTTTCAAAGGCAGGGGAATATCTGCAGAGCAGTGCAGAATCTCTGCATTACTGTCCATTTAACTGTTGTGAAATTTTTCAGTAATAGCTTAATCTCCTATGTCATGGACAATTCATTTTTAAGTCAGATCTGTGTTCCAAAATAACTGGAAAAGGTTTATAATTACAAAATACCAATCCAATTGGATTTTGGGTGGAATTTATTACTTAAATATATGTTCAGGATCCACTTTTCAATTTCTTTTGCCTGAAGCTTCCATTCAAGCGAGCTGCACAATCCTCTTCTGTTACCTACAGTGTGCTACACAGTAAAACTTTAGGTATATCGTTTTTGTTTGCAACCCATGCACAGTAACTCCTTTAAAATTTGTTTTGTGATAGATGACAAATTCAGCGTGCAAAGAGAAAGAACATAATCTCTGCATTCAGGATAATGCATAAAAAGCAGTAAACTTGAGAAAAAAAAAACGGAGCTGTAACGAAATAACACAAATACACAGAATAAGTTACTTTCATAGTGTTTTTTAACATGATAAAATGCTGTGATTCTTCTAATTTTTATCATTTATTTTAAAATACACAGGGCAGATAAAATGATGGAAATAAACATGTCAGATTAATTTGGGCTCTATTGTAGATGCTGCTTCCTAGTATTGACTGTTTCTTCATGCAGTTTGCCAGAATGTCTGCCTGTCTTAGCACTTATCCTTTTCTCTAATTTCAGTGCATCTGGAAATGGAGATGATGTGGATTCCCCACAGTCTCTTCAGGATGATGTGACTGAATATAGCCCCAATGTGGAGAGTTGGTGAGTGAAGCTTTTGTATTAGAAAAATGTACAAAGTGATGAAAATGCAGGAAAATCATGGGGAAAATAACACTTTTTATAACAATCTTTTAATTCTGTAAATGTTGAGAAGTGGCTGGTTGCAGAAATATTTGGTACTTGAAGTATCTTGAAGGTATAATGTGGGGCAAGTAATTCTATTTCTTTTTCTTCTTCTCTTACATAGAAAATAAAACACAGTAAATTGAATTGTCTATTTCATTATTTTTGATAATTCAGTGCTAACATATCGCAAGGACCTGAGCAGACTAGAGCCCGGAAGCATTTGAAAGCATACATATTTAGGGCAGTATCTGAGGGGAATTTAGAAGAACTGCAATGCCTGCTTGCAGAGCTGAAGGAAAGATTGAACTCGTGTACACACATGACTGCGCCAGGTAAGCTGTGGAGTTGCCTAAAGGAAGATTATTACCTCTTGTAACAGTAGATATAGTGTAAAACTGGTAAATATTGCCATGCAAGAACTATTTGCCTGTCAGTATGAAGTCAACTGGCTGCAGTTTAATGCATATCACACGTAGGCTTTCATGTAGAAGTAAGAAGATATCCAAAAAGCTACCTGTTTGCAGGTACTGTACCCAAGGTAGCCTTCTGCAGCGTGAGACCCAAAGCTGGTGTGGCTGTTCAAACCGCTTTAATTGCAGTAAACAGTTTAATTGCAGTAATAGAACTTGCAATGTGTAGCCTGCAAGAGCAGGCAGAGAAGGTGGAAACAGCTTTGCTCTGTGGCCTTTCTGCCAGGGAAACCTGTGCTTAAGAGGGCTTAGCATTTGGCTGGAGTTAACAGGACAGCGAGATGTCGGGAAGAGGAAAGTCTGGTCCACTGGTGAATTTATTCATGAGTACCCATCTCTGAATATGTGGTCTTTCCACATAAGCATAGCTCAAATACAGAGTGAATAGGGTGCAATAATTATCTGCTAAATAGTTTGTGCACACATGTATTTCACCTAGGTTCCACCCACAACAAACAAAAGATTGGATTTTTTTTTTCATCTCCTCTGTAAATAAAAAAACCTACCATGATTTAATCTCAGAATTCACTCTTGCAGATTATCTGATGAAAAAATTCACAGCTTCAGATACTGGCAAAACTTGTTTGATGAAAGCTCTGCTGAACATCAGCCAAAACACAAATGAGGTAGTAAATACGCTACTGTCCTTTGCAGAAGAAAATGGTATTTTGGAGAGGTTCATCAATGCAGCATACACAGAAGATAATTATAAAGGTATTGCTATCTGACACCAATTTCAAGTATAGGCTCAAATGTATCATCCGTTGCTTTCCTCAAGAATTCTAATGATAATTTACAATTTTTAATCTATTTTTATTCAGTATTGCTGGTGCTATCTATTATGAAACATCAGAGTACTTAATGCTGCAGAGAGATCTGACATTTTAAAAATTGTGTCTGTTCTTTCAGGTCAGACAGCTCTAAGTATCGCCATTGAAAGAAGACAATCTGAAATCACTCAGATCCTTATAGAAAAAGGAGCTGATGTCAATGCTCATGCCCAAGGTGTTTTCTTTAATCCCAAACATAAACATGAAGGTTTTTATTTTGGTAAGTGGAAGCACAATCTCTTTGAAAAAATTGGAAAGGAGGAACCAAGCAAGATTCTATCAAAGAGGGGGCAAGCACAGATTATTTTGTAGCTAAAGCTAGATTAAGAAACTCACTCGCAAAACACAATAATGACACAATACTTTTGTGTTTTTCTTTTTTTTTTTACTTAATATAAGTAGAAATAACTTGCCAGAAGGCAATGAATTGCAAATACTCAGAAATTATTATAAAGCAATTACTTTTTAAATGCTGAGTGGTAAGTAAAATATAACAAATTTGAGTTTGAAGATTTTTCTTCAAATAATGTTTTCATATAGATTAAGCTTTTCTATAAACCAGGAGCTAAATTCTATCTAATAGGATAGTTAAGGTCCATTAACATATTAAAGTTGTTTAAAATAGTCCTTCTTTTGTAATGTGATTCAGTAATGTGGTTTGTAATAAGCTGTGAGCACTTGCTATGTTTTGCAATTTTGTAGGTGAAACTGCCCTGGCATTAGCTGCATGTACCAACCAACCTGACATAATTCAGCTATTAATGGACAACAGCAGGACTAACATTGCTTCTCAGGATTCCAGAGGAAACAATATCCTGCATGCACTGGTTACTGTGGCAGAAGACTCTAAAACCCAGAATGACTTTGTAATCAGAATGTATGATATGATTTTACTGAAAAGTAAAAATAGAAATTTGGAAACAGCGAAGAATAAGGAGGGTTTGACACCACTACAGTTAGCTGCAAAAACTGGGAAACTGGAGGTGGGTTTTATTTCAGTAATATCTAGAGAGAAACTGAATACAGCAAAGGAGTGTAGACCAACCATGTACTTGGATGTTAGCATGCTTTGATAGGTAGTTTTCCATGCTGGTTATGTTGTACCAAAAATCAATAGTGTTGATGAGCTAATTTTATTCAAAATGCAAGCAGGTATTTCTATTGTGCTTCTGCTCTTCCAAGTTTTCTGTAACAACCCTTCTCCTTCATTTAGAAACAGCCTTGCAAACCAGTCTGTTGCCCAGAGGTAGGTTTTGGAGAAGGAGATAAAGACGCATTGAGTTAAATGTGGTGACAGTGACAAGAAACTTGGTCAAATTTGCCAGGTTCAAGACACTTTGCTTGGTGTTTTGGGGCTGGTGGCATTGCCCCATGCTGAGCTGTGCTTATTTTCTGTCCTGCAAAGGAGAAGTGGGCCTGACCCGGCCAAAGAGGGCTGTCCTCAGCACTGTGTGCTGCTCCACGTGACCTAGAAGTGATTTGCTCACTGTACCAATCTTGCTATCACGATGAGTGACTGTTTTGATATTTTGTGCTTCATTCCTG